CATGCTGTCGGCTAGTGTAAACACAGGTCGCACACGTGATGTCAGCACTTTTTTGTCGCGGAAAGTGACGTTGCGGACCTTAAAACTCCGGTTTTGTCTGTCCACACGCAGACACTCAAAACGGAGAAAACGCAGATCTTCACTTTGGCCGGAGTTTTTAAAAAGATCTGTTTTCGTGTGAAAAAACTCAGTTTTCGTGTGGATGACAGGCCAAAACGTAGAAAAATATCTACGTTTTGGCAGATCCCCGGCTACGTGTGGACAGGGCCGCAGACACAGACCATGACAATGAGTGATTTTTCTAAAGCTCTTTCAGAAATCTCTGTTGTCTTTGCCATTGTTTTTGTTTCTGGTTAGTTTCCTGACCTGGGTGTTGAATTCTAATCCTAAAATGTGATGAAAATGCCAAGCTTTAGCAAGTATGACCCACCCCTGATGAGCTGCCCGTGCATCTCACCGTGTGTTGCAGAGGTTTTTCCCATGCAGCGGCACAAGCTGTCCTGGGCTTCCTCTCTTCCTCACAGAGGAAAACAATGAGTAATCTCTTTTGAGTGGCTTTGTTTTTGAGATGATGCATGGTATTTTTAACTGACGCCTGATGACTTTGCAAGAAAATTGCTCGCTAGTCATTGAGGCATGCATCTTCTCAGCTAAGCTAATGGGCTAAACTGCCTGTTCTACCTTTGCAGAGTGGTTAGTCCATCATTGATGCAGATAATTAAAATGGAATAAGGTGGAAGGTGGAATAAGAGATTGAAAAGGTCCAGCCATCTTTCTCCATGCTTCCAGCTGCACCCCACAATACAGGAGTGCAAAATGGTTGTTCCAGAGATACAGTTTTATGTTTTTGGCCCATATTTTGCCACTACTCCTACAGTAATTCACATATTTAACCATATAGTAATTTAGTATGCTTTAATATAATTTGGCATTTCTATGGTGAATGACAGCAATAGCCTAGAATCTAGACCGCCATTTGCCAAAGCAAAAATAATTTTCCTTTGCATGTCGGTCTAGCTAGCAATACTCCATTGGAACCTCCATAGCCCTGTAAAAAGGATGTACTTGCATCTTCTTTAACAAAGTATGGTGGACTGCTTTGTTGACTGACATCCCTAGCAGTGAGTACATCATGTTGTTTGTTATTCAATAGCATGCAGAGACCATTTGAAAGACAACTATAGATCACGCCCCTTGACTGAGCCGTCATTGGACCGTGGATAGACTAAACATTCACATATGTAGGATGGCTTGCCAGGCTAGTACAGCAGTTCATTGTCACCAACATTCTGGGAAAATTACACAAACAACAGGCTAAAACTTACAGAACCTCCTCCAACTCGCTCTCTCCTCTCTATCGACTTCCCACACACACCTTGCCAAGATAACAAGCTGTCAGACAGCTCTGCCAGCCAACAAAGTACAGGCTACGTTCACAGACAACAGGTCCGTCACCTAAATGTTTCCCAACATTACCAGAACCAGACTCAGAACATATAAAACAACACCTTAACTTGTTCTTTTTGAAATACGATTGGTCACTGTGAGTTTCACATGCATGCTGAATGTGAAATAGCCCTCGAACCCATATCTCCTGCCTTAACCCTAACTCAAACCACACAGCTCTATGTCACAGGGCAAATTAGGATTTATGGCCACCTTTGGCTCATGACCACCGAAGGCAATTTCGATTTAGCAGCTAGTAGAAGCTAACTAACCATTAGCATTAGCAACTCCACAACATGGCAGAACAATTTCATACCTGTGTTATTTGTAGAGACATCTCATCACTTCTAAAAACTGAAAATGACTCACAAGGGAGTTGTCCATACTAAAGACCACAACAGATTTATCAAATAACGAGTGCATGTCCACTGTAAACATTAAACTCATGAAAAAGGATTTTTCCAGCTATTGTACATTTCAGAGGTCATTAAAATTATTACATTTTTTGTCAAAACATTTAACTTATTGGATACAATCAGTATGTGAAGAGCTTTTCAAGCCATATGGTAAACATAGCTCCAGAAAAACATCATCCACTCAACCTTTGTTTTACTATTTTGTTTTTCTCACTTTATTAATGTCAGTTATTTTTCAAAACCAAATGTAAAATTGCTATAATGTTTTGTACTTTTGCAGTCTTCATTAGATGGCTTGAAACAACCTAATTGTACTATTGGCCTTTGCTCATCGTGCTGTGTTTATGTCATCATGAGCACGACTGTTGGTGCCGCCAAAGGTAACGTAATTATTAAACAGATTAATCACTGCCCTGCTCACAGCACTAAATGATCTAACTCCATCATCTGATCTCCTTGAACTGAGACGGCTCAGTTTAACACTAAGTTCTCGTAAACTAGCACAATATGACTGTTCCAGCTATCTTATCTTATCATAACATACAGTAGCTGTGTGGGAAGTGTGCCTGGAGTGTAAAACAAATGCTCCTCTGGGCGTTTTGATTGTGGAGGCTCCTGATAAAGCAGGTGGGGTGCAGCGGCCTGTTTGGTCAAGGACTTGTCAGCCTGTTTGTTTACGTTCCAGGGCCAGGGCGTCGATGCCAGTGAGTCAGCCTGAGTGGAAACGGTGACGAGTATTGAATTAGTATCTTTTTCCCCTCCTTCCTTTACTTTTCTTTTTTAAATGCTCGTGTCAGCTGGTGTCACGTCTGATCTGTTGGCTGAGACTGATGGGGAGCGTGACGTTCTGCTGCATTATGCTCGGTCATCTGACACATTCCTGTGGGAGCGAGTCTGTCGTGATCAGGACAGTTAACACATCTGAAGCAAAAATAAACCAAACCACCGTGGACACAAAGTGAAAGATTCATAGTGACATCAAATGAGAACATTTGAAGTCTAAAATCAACATGTCTGACACTGATTTTGGGCTTTTTATTCCTTTTAATGACAAGAACTGATTGCAAAATGTGCAAAAAGGAAGGTTTTAATTTCCCTCAGCCTTGATATCAATCTCCTAAATGTCTCTCTTGAGACGGCCGACCCGTAGACCAGCTAAGGTAATAAAGATGAAGCATTCTTTAGAGTACAGGGACCCAAGGAAACCTTCTCAGATCTTTAATGGTCTACAAGTTGATTCTGCATCATAAAGCGGAGGGACTCAGTTTAGTTTCAATCTGATTGCTTTCATTTTCAATTATGCTCACCTCTGGAAAAGCAATTAAGTGCAGGAGCACAGGGAGAATTTACATTACGCGTTCAGAGACAGAGATTGCATGTAAGGGAAATGCAAAATAGCAGATGTTAGTTATAAATGTAAATTCAGGAAGTCATTTTTAATTTTAGCCACAAATTAAGTGCACATAGCTAAAAATAATCATTTTGTTTCACTCTCTTTCTTCTGACACACTGAACCGAATATAGCCTCATGGATTTTTGTCATCATGGAAAATTTGACAGGTTTATTTTTGAAGATCTCTTCACATCTTCTGCTGTTCTGGGTGAGCTAATGTAGGTTACATCTGCTCATGTGAACTGGGCCAACTGGGAGTGTTTTAAGGAGCATCTCTGACCAGAAATCAGCTTATTGGTGATCCAATGTCTAAAAGTGGCTCACAAGATTTTTGTTTACATTCAGTTTTATTGCATGACACATGATTTTCCTGCATGATGATGCCACTAACATTTATTTGCTGCCAAGTGTTTATTCACTTCTAAAAATAGTCCCATAAATACTTAAAGGTGCAGTATGTAGGAATATAGTGAGAATTTGACAGTGAGAAAATTCCAGCAGAATCAAACTTTTCAGTCATTTTGGGCTGAAGGTTATACTGAAACATATTTCATATCCAGCTGACTGCGGGGATTTTCAGATTTTCCTTTTACGTTTCCAAGGGACGTAACTACTGTTTAAAGTCAGTGAGTGTGGGGTAGCCGTGTCTCCTGCGAGCTAATACTGCAGCACCGATTATGGAAATTTGACAACGGCCGGCAAAACCCTTCAGAGTTGTGGTTGCTGTAACCACATTTTACCATGTCAATTTTACTTCATTTCTACATAATGCACCTTTAAAGGTCATTGCAACCAAAGGGGGAAAAGCTACATTTTAAAGATTTATATCTTTAAAATTTAAGTTAGAATCAATTTAAATGACCAACAAATGGTTTTAGGGATTACCTGACTGCAGATTCCCCACTAATTTAGTTAAATTCTGATTTATATAAAACAGTTAAGATCAAATTTCAGAAGAAATTGGAAATTATGACTCAGGAAGCAAAAACGTCCACATATGAGATCTTTTATGGTTTAGGGAATATTTCAGCTTTTTAATTGGCTGCATAATAATAGTACAATAGACCAAACACCAATTCTTTGATCACGCAGAAAAGGGAACACTTTTCATCCCCAGAGGATTTTTGAGAGGATGTTTCTAATTGTTATCCTTTTTTATTTATGCAAAAGACAATTTAGAAATGATTGTCTTCAAAATTTGTATTTTTATGAATGCCTTTATTACAAACATTTAGTGGAAGTTCAGCACGTTCAACGACTAAAACATTGCACACGATTATTAAAGAGCAAATTCAAATAAAAACATAGCAGAATGTGTTAAAATCTGCCAATAAAATTAGTTTTTTTAATGCAATAATTAAGATTTTTAATCTCCTTAAAATCCTGCATGAGCGAAACATTATAAATACATTTGAATCATTCTGATGTTTTTGCCCAGTAGGATGGTGCACCTTTACTTTCAAATGAAGAAGCTTCTGTTGGATCACTGATGATTAAAACGAAGGAACATTCAGAAGCTTTATTCTTCATTACGTGGGCTTCATTCCCTTTCTTTTCTAAATTTACTGCCTTTAAAAGCTGTTTTCTTTCCCATGGGAAGCAATTAGTAGCTTCAAGGAGAGGCAGCAGGAAACATGTTTGTTCCAGCCTTCTGACATACTTACAGGTATTAGAGCATGTGGACAGATTACATAACAAGCAGCATTTTTAAAAGTCCTTTAGGTGTACTGGGTTTGTTTGCTCACCTGTGCTCTGCTCTGTGGATGTTGTTAAGAACTTAATGAAGGGAGTGGAGACATCACTCAGACTTGTGTCCTCATCTGTAGCTGAAGTAGCCCCATCTTCATCTTCTTCTTTAAGCCTTTGGTCTGGCAGCTCTGGGAGGACACACACACAGTTTCACCTCTGAGTGATCTCAGAACGGCTGGAAATATAATTTAATTTACAAAACACATTGCATCTCCTGCGTCGTCTTAGTAAAACTGGGCTTGGAGCTCGCCAAAGGACAGTTTAACCATCTCTCTTCTCAGCTCAGCGCATTCTGATACTGAAATTGGAAGAAAGTGGAAGGACTATATTTCTTAACCCAGTTCTGTCAGGGAGCGGCCCGTCATCCACTTAGTTGTAGTCAGCCATCCATAGTGCAGGAGACTGGGACTCTGTGGTCCAATTACACTGACATCCTTATGTGGATGTGGATGGGTGTGGACATCCTGGCTTACTGCAGATCCAGACTCCGTCCTAGTGCAACTGGAGTTTTAGAAGTGCATTAAAACAGAAACAGGAGTCCCAGAGAGCTCAAAAAGGAGGAACTGATTTGTTTGTGATTTTCACTTTCATTTGGTTCCAGAAATCCATTGAAAAAAATCAAAATAACAAAAGAGGAAATGATGTTTATTAAATTGAGCTAAACACTAATAATTAATAATTAATTTAAAAAATATATATATATTGAGCTAAACACGGTTTACTAAGATTTCTTAATTGTTCAGAAGTAAAATCGAGCTCTTTAGCTCATCACTGGCAATGTTTGCATGAATGTGGGGGAATGTCTGCATGGGGGGGGGGGGGGGATTGGGACTCTAGAAGGGGCTATGAATACAGGCCGTTTACCATGTTTGTGATGTTCTACTTTGCTGAAGACACCATTAAGAAAGTAATGTAAACTACAGTGGATGAGAAGAAGGCTAGTTCTCCAACTCACTGAGTAGCTCAACTTAGCATGCAGGTGTTTGTCTCCTATTGACCTGACTTACAACATCAGGTTGGCCAAAAGATCTCTAAAAGTTTGAATGCATTTTCCCAAACACATCCAGATAAGACAGAGCTGGAATTGACATCTGACATGAAACTATCACTCTAAACAGATGGTCGAGAGCTGATTTCAGTTTCAGGACCTGGACCACTTTCTGTAACTGATGGAACCATGAATTCTGCTCTCTACCAGACCATCCTAAAGGAGAACATCTGACCTCTGACCTTAACAAGGCTGCTCATGCTGCAAAACCAGCCTAGAATCTACACCGTCATTTGCCGAAGCTTAATAATTGCATGTGAGTCTAGCAATGCTCAACTGGAACCTCTGCAGCCCCAGCCAGTATTGTGGCTGGCCAATTGCGGAGCTTTATTTAGAAAAATGATACATTTTCATCTTCTTCCCTGGTTCTTCCATGATTTATGATGAAATGACACCCATTGCGCTCCAATCACAGCGCTCTATTGGTGGGCGGGATGTTACTGAAAAAACAAAGATGGCAGCTCATTTGAAACAGCTTTTGCATCCAGTGTTGCCAACTCAGCGACTTTGTCTCTGTTCCTAACGACTTTTTGACCCCCCTCAATGACTTTTTTTCCAAAAAGCGCCTAGCGACAAACCTAGCGACATTTCTCAGGACCCGTTGCTACTTTCTGTAGAACTTTCTTGAAGATATTCCCTACAGATTAGCAACAAAGAAACCATTTGCACTCTGAACCATTCTACCGGGAGTAAGGAAAGAGAACGATAATCTGCACATGTGCACGAGGACTGACCAATCATAAACCATTTTCGGCCGGGCTGATTCGCCGAAGACAAAGGTACAGTTGCAGAGCTGGAGACGCTTCTACTAGAGACGGTGCAGGAGTCAACCTGCGATCTCTGGTTCTGCAGCCGTCAGACACTTTGGCTTTTCCTGCATTTGGCAAATAAAGTCAACGGGAGTTTCAACTACCGTCTCGTTTACACACGCAGCTCTGTGGCTCATCTGAATTTCCTTCAGTGTCACAGGGATGGTTATACCATGAGACACCCGCTCCCTTTTGCTCGGTGCGCTGTTATTATCACGATGGAGAGAATACACAACAGAGAAGTTGAGAAACTATGAGGTGCAAAAAAAACCCAGCTTTTTAGGAAAATGTCTGTGAGAATGAGGAGAGCAGGAGGTCTGAGTTATATCCTACAACAGAACTGTTTGGATCACCACACCATATCTGTCTTAGTGTCACTTTATTGATACTTTTGGAATTTATTGTACATATCAAAGCAATTTGGGCCATTTTAATCATACTAATTAATAACTTTAACACATAACATAGTTTTTATTTTCCTCCCTTTTAGTCCTATGTGTGTGTGTGTGTGTGTGTGTGTGTGTGTGTGTGTGTGTGTGTGTGTATATATATATATATATATATATATATATATATATATATATATATATATACATCTTTTAGATGCTATGGGGAAAATTAACGCCAATGTGGCGTGGTGACGTCATCAATATGTAAATTAGCACGTGACGTCATCTGGTGACATCTAGCGACTTTTGGGGGTAACTTCAGCTGCTTTCAGTCAAAAGCAGTTGGCAACACTGTTTGCATCAACTTTGGACTATTTAGACATGAACTTTTCTTTGAGTCGAGAGCAGATAGAGGTAGTCAAGTTTATTTAGAAAGAAGAGGTATTTGCGTCTTCTTTGACAGAGTGTGGTGGACTACCTCTCTGATTGACTTCTGTTGTGGTGAGTACGTTACATTTGTTGTTATCCGATAGCACGTGGAGACAGTTTTAAAGACGACCGTAGATTCCACGCCTCGACTGAGAGCGTCAATGGGGCGTGGCCAGACTAAGTGTTGACATATAGGATGGTTGGCCAGGCTAGAAAATAACCTCTAATGAATTACAACAAATATCTACAGAAGTGTGGGACAGCATTCCTTCTTCTTGACAGACTCGTGACCAGCTATCACAACTGCTTGATAGCTGCAGGTTAGTTTGGATTACGACTTGTCCTTAATAAATAAAGTCCTCTGTTGAAAACTGTATTACATATTTAATCAGGTTTGTTGTCCCTTAGCCCTAACTACGTTATTAACTACATTTATTTCACCAACAATAAGAATATGAGGCTTTTCCTTAATGAAATACCAAAAAGCAATACCTTCCTAAGCCAGCGGTAGCCATGTTGTGCTCAGTGTCATCATTATCTCTTTAAACCTGATTGCGTTTCATATTTAGTACAAAAACACCGAGGCTGTGGGAATAGAGACGGGCCGATGAAAAGCACAGAAGAGACCAGAATGATCATAATTAGGAAAAAAATGACTCCTTATGATTTCTGCTACTTGTGCCACATTGCGTCATGTTCTTGTACTTCTGACTCTCTTACAGCGTGTAAAATAATCTGCATAATCCCAGGAGGTTTCCATTGGCAACGTCTCCTCAAAATCAATCCTTCTGCGGACTGAATTCTGAAATTCTCCCAATAAAACTGTGGTTATTATGAGTGATTACCTTGATATTTAAGTTTCCGCAGCATTTTCTTCTTGCAATAAAGCTAACTTTTCTATTTATAATTTATAAAGGGGAGTGAGATATTTGTGTCACGAGTTTAACCCATGCATAAATCCTTTGTGATCAATCAAACCTTTACGTTTCTTGAATCCTATATAAGGTTTTCTTTCAGCTAATAACTGAATTTGGTAATGGATCATTACTTGATAATACAATATTAAAGCTGGCTGAGGAGGAGAAGAATTAGGACACGAGACAATAACAGTATTTGGCTTTAGACAAACACTCCCCTTCTTCCCCCCTTGTGCTTCTCGTTATTGCTCCAGCTTGCTGATGTTGCATGGTCTCTTATTAGATGATCTGACACACATGCAGAGCATTTCTGCTTTTTCACTCCTGACTGCCTCCTCAAGGGCACGGCCACATAGAACATACTCTCCTGATCAAAGCAGCCAGATCTCTGCTGTGGTGACCGTCTTCCCCATCACTAGTAAAGAAACGTTTCAACATTGTAAAAATTCAGTGATCTTAGGTTCTTGTTAAATGTTGTCTCTGTCATTTGGTAAAGAGGTAATTTGTCAAGGGTTTCATCCATGTCTACAGGAGGTTGTGGTTGGATGTGGTTGTGGGAGGAGTGTAAAATGTCAAGAGGGCCCTTCACCGTCCTAAACTGCAACTGGCAAGCAGACGGTCCCGTAGGACAGTGGTTTTGCTGAGCGTGCGCTCAGAATACTGATCCACGAAGCCCTCCCCCTACCATCTGAACCCCCTTTTTTCTCCGCTGGCCACCACACGGTGCACACGAGAGCAGACTCAACAAGAGCCGCAGACAAAACATCCGTCAGATTCAGCCGAGAGGGCGATCCAGATCTGGAATTCCATCACAGCTGACGGTGACGAGCAACAACTTTTACATTCAACCAGTAAACCTGCTGTAAAAATACTTTTTATACTCTAATGCAAAAACTGGGACCCAAAATAGATTTTTGTTGATTTTAAGCTTCTGGCTGATGAGCAAATTAGTCCTGAAGTGCTCAAAGACAGACATTTGGAGATTTGGTATTAGTGCTTGTATTAGTCAAAGTGCACAATAAAAAAAAATGGTCTGTCCTATTTAGACTGAAAAAAAATATTCTGGGGCAAGCAAAAACTTTAACATAACATGTTGCATATTGTTTAAAAACATTTTTAGTTTTGATTAAAAAACAACAAATATTAAATTTTTAATATAATTTTCATTAAAATCTTTTTTCAGGTTCAAGGACATTCAGTGAATGAGGAGATTTTTATTTTTCATTCAATAACTTGTTCATCCATAGTTGCTTAGTGGAGAATGATGACAAACTGGTTATTGTACAGAGACATAACTAGATAGATAGATACGTCATTAACAACGATGTCGAGTAACGTCCACACACACAAAACCCTAACCCTAACCCACAGCCATAACAGAGATAAAAGGATGCGCTGAAAGCAAAGCAGCCGTATGTAAAAGCCTATTTAAAATGTTACAGGCACTGAAATAACTACAGGATATTTTCACTTTTCCTTCCAAACTTTAACCACCAACTGGCTTGAGAGGAAAATTGAGTGAAAGTCCACCTTGAAAGGGAAACAGGAATTGTTTTTCCTTTAGGCTGGGATCATGGAAACAACTTCATCAACATGCTGCCCTTTTATACGCGGGTAAAGGGGGATACCCTCCTTTTTAAAGTTAAAAATCCCAAGTTTAAAACCTAAACATTCATTAGGACAGGAAGTTCATCAGTCATGACTTTTGTTGAACACTCCAACCCCCTCTGGTTTAAGAATAATCGACTCGTGATTTCCTTGTCCAGCCTTTGATCCTACATGATGAATGTGTCTGTACTTGGAGGAGGATCTCCTCCTGCAGCCTCATTACAGAAACCAGGCTAGCACCAGTGTGGGGGATGGGCAGGGACAAGGTGAAACTGCATCAATGTCGTATCAGGGACTCCTGCAACCCTGCATGTGGCTCTTTCTGTTCATCACCGTTCCCGTTTCAATGTAAGCGCTCATTAGACTTCAATCAGCCAGTCTTCCCTTCCATGCTCGGATGCAATGACTCATGCAGGTTGGAAGTGGTGTTGCTGTACAGAGTCTCATCAGAGATGGTTACAGTTAAAGGGATGGATAGAATTTTAAACAGGGAGGGACAAATGACATGCTTGAGAAATGGTGACATGGAAAATTAACTTAGGATATTAACGGAATAAATAAACAACACAGAACGCAATGTCTTTTAAGTCAACCACAACACATTGCTCGATGGATTCATGAGCTTTGTTCTTGATGTGCATATTGGAAATTTAATAAAGACGAGTCATTCTGTGGCTGTTTTATAGAAACTCACATTTCTGAGAGGGGGTGGTTATTTCTTTAAAGGTTCTGCAGTCTGAAGCTTTTGCACATCACTGAATGACACCATGACATGATAAAAAGTCTTAATTGCCCCTGTTAGACCATAGCCAGAAACATTTATGCAATTACTTAAATGCTGTTTCCAGCCTTTACTTTTACTTTCTAGGGGTCTAGTTTTGATGCAAATCCTAAACCAGTAACTACTTTCCATGGAAGGAACGCCATCAATCAAAACCTCTCTACCTTTTGGCAGCCAACTATTGAAGACTAAAGACCTGTCTGCACATGACTGATCACACCTATTGAGTCAATCCAGTCTCTATTGATTGAATTAATTTTGCTTACCTCCTTCAATTGGAAAAGTTGCCCTGGGGCTTTGAGTTGTGCTCGTTATGGATTCCCGGACTTGTTTCGGATCAATCCGGAGGGTAGTGGAGATGACCCCTGGCTGGTATTCGACCTTAATGCTTCTGGTTTCGAAGGAGCCCTGGTCCACCTGACTTTGAGTGGTGGACATTTCTGTCATTGTGCCCACTGATGATGGTCGAACTGTTCTACCAGTGGAATTTTTAGGTCTTCTTACAAATGTAGGGTGAGTAGCAGACCTCAGAGCATGTGTCATGGGCAGCGTGGTCTTTACCAGTCTTGGGTTTGGGGTTGTGGTTTGGTCTGTTGCCCATGACTGGGATGTAGGGGCTTTAGTTTCTGGTGGCATTGCTGGAAAACTCCTTACAGATAAAACTTCTGCCTCTTGAGAAACACTTGTTTCATGTGGGAGGTGTCGTTGAGTGGCACCCATGCTGGGTTCTGTGACTGCTGTGGTGTCCCACGGTGGGTGGGTATCTGCTGTGTTTTGTTTCCGAGTGTTACTGCTAGTTGGACTGTTGGTGGACAGAGTATTTGTGCTTGTGGGAGAAACAAAAGCATCCTTGTCTCTCTGAACTATGCTGCTGTGTGGAGGATCTGACGTCTCAGTGGGAAGTGATTCAGGTCTCCGCTCTGGCACAAGGAGCCCCTGAGTCAACGTGGTGAGCAACTGAGATTTCCCAGAATCGATCCCTTCTCCTGATCCCGTTTGGTCTTCCGAGGAATTGATCGGGACTGTCAGCCCTTTGGCAGCCGTGGTCAGAGCAGCTGTCTCGTCGTCACCACCCGAACCCCCATAGAAAGGGAATTTGAACGGAAGCGAGGGAAGGGAAGGGATCTTGGGCAAGGATGGGGTCCACCAATAGTTGCTGTGTTTCTTCTCAGACGGATTGTTAGTTGTTGCTTTAGGACCCCATCTGGCCTCTTCATCAGCCAGAGCCCATCTGTGAAGGAGCAGAAAGCACCAGAAGAAGAAAGCCACTGTCCGGTGGAAGCTAAGCATGCTGCCGACAGCGTAGCACGGATTGTCACATGTTGTTCTCTATTCTCCTGCTCCCTGAGGCGGGTATGGCTGGCTCCTCCACAAAGTGGCCTAGAAGACAGAAGCACACAGGACACTTGGTGACACACTTACTGCCCGCTCAAGGACAGCCACATTTGCATTGTCTTGATAGATTCACATCTGTTCATACTTCTAAAACCCTTTTGGAAACTTTAAACCTGAAGAGTGACCTGCTTTAAACAAACAGTGACACCCGTTGAGGCTATGATCAGTCAGAATCTACCACAAGCTGCAACAAGAGATGAGGTGCTGTTTTTATCTGTTAAATGATCTGATCTGCAAAACAGAGAGAAAGACCTACCTAGTGAAGGAGTGTTCAGAGAATAACGTCTGTGAATTGGGTTGTGTGTGTGTGTGTGTGTGTGTGTGGGTGGGGGGGTGGTTCATTAAGAACTGGAGTCCTAATTTTAAAGCCCAAGAAAAAAGGGACCTCCTATTCTTTTGTAAAACACCAAATGGTTCAAAGTCACCAGCCTGTTGCCTCAGTGAGAAGATTGGAACACCAAAGGAATTTCCTCTGTGAGAACAACAACCTGTGTGCTGTAGTTCTGTCCCACCCGGCTTTGGACCGGGTCTCTCTGCATCTCAGATTTATTTGTTCTTTTAAAGAAGACAGAGAATGATATTTGTGTGGACGTGGAAGCAAAAATCAATATTCACGGAAAGCTGTGATCAGACTGAATGGTCTTCCTCTCCACTAACCTTTATTCCACTTCACTCATGCCATATGTTTTTCCTAATCCACGACAATTCCTTTAACTTTCTTAGATCGTTTCATGGGTTTATAGTCCAGCTGAATTTACCTCAGAGGCTTAACTAACCAGAAGGGAAGGGGCTTGACCCGCCAATCCCCCCGTATTAAAGCCCCAGGGGAAGAAGGCAACCTGGAGACCAAACTATGTTCTGACTAACACGGGGTTAAACATAGCGCTTCCCACACACTGCCCAGTTTTAGCGCTTTGATTGAGCTGCATGAAAACTGGTTTCCAAGGAAGTGAGGTTTCCTTTTTTTTTCCTTAGATACCTGCTTATTCAATCTTGCAGCGTGCACACGGCAGACATTCAGCTGTAGATGAAATCAGACCTGACTCTGCGTGTTAGGACAGTGTGTGCTTCTGTGCCCACATGCACTGGTAAGCAGTAGGTGTGAACACCCACACATGCACTCCTTTGGGTTTCTTCAAGAAGATGCACAACAGGCTCCAACGGTATCCAACCTGGAGGCCGTGTTTTAGAATAAATTATCTTTATTTCTTGCTGCTCGTTTGTTGATTACATGCATTAAATATTCAAGATTTGATCAGCAGCAACTATGTATAATTTATTTAGACAAACATTCTCACATTTCACTCCAACAGCATCTCTTTCACTTCGTGTTTCGTTGCAACAGGATCAGGGTCTTAGGATTAGCAGTCTCATTTTATGCAATCAAGAAACTATTTTATCTTAAAGGTAATAATAAGTCAAGGTTAGCGGCTATAGAAGTTAGAATGAAAGCAGACTTTTGTGTTTTCTGATGATCTTCTAATTTTCAGCTCCGTGATCATTTCTGAAGAATCTTGTTGCACGATTTATTTATGTGTTGCTACTTTGAGTCTTTAAATAGGCTAAATAAATATTTATTTTTACAAGACACTTTAAAAGAGTGTGTCCAGTGAGTCAAACCAAAAGTGACACTTTTATCTATCTAATATAGAAAAACCAGGCCAATGTTGATTTTATCGGTAGTTTTGTTGGAGACATTTTTGGCAAAGAATATTATTTAATCAAGGAAAATATTTAAAAATCATACATTTTATTAATTTACACATTAAAAATCAAATATGTGCACAAAAACAGTTTAGGAAGAGCAAAATCATTTGGTAACACTATACAATGAGGGTTCCTTTATTAACGTTACTTTGTTGTGATATTGTTAACCTTTAAGCCGTCATAAGACCGTCGCTTGATGAAGCAAAATAATTTTGTTTTGCAAGCCTAACTAGCAAAGCTCCATTGGACCCTCTGCAGCCCCAACCATTACTGTGGATGGCCAATCACAGCTTGTTTATTTAGAAAAACGATGTCTTGTTTTATGTTTTTGTTTTTTTCCACAGTTTAATGGCAGACTGCTCTGTTGACTGACATCCGTAGTGGTCCAATCACAGTGCTCTATTAGTTTGGTGGGCCAATCACAGAGCTCTATCAGCCAGGTGGGAGGGGTGTGACTGAGCAAAAGTCAGATGACGTCGGCTTCATAGCGGTTCAGTCACAGCACTTTGATGGTGAGCGAGCGAAAAACAAAGATGGTGTCGGCTCGTTTGAAATAGCTTTGGCATTAACTTTGACTATTTTGACTTGGGCTTTTCTCTGAGTCAAGAGCAGATAGAGATACTTAAGTTTATTTAGAAAAAGGATGCATCTGCATCTTTTTTAGCCTGGCCAGCCATGCCAATGCTTCCCTATGGGAAGCAAAGGGCCCGGTACCAAGAAGCTTGGTCATCCAGGAAGGGCTCGGAGTAGATCCGCTGCTCCTCCACATCAAGAGCCAGTTGAGGTGTCTTCGGCATCTGGTCAGGATGCCTCCTGGACGTCTTCCTGGTGAAGTTTTCAGGGCACATCCAACGAGAGGAGAGCTAAAGGGAGACCCAGGACACACTGGAGGGACTACGTCTCTCACCTGGCCAGGGAACGCCTTAGGATTTCCCCGGAGAAGCCGGCCCAGGTGGCTGGGGAGAGGGAAGTCTGGGTCTCCTTACTTAGGCTGCCGCCCCCACGACCCGACTCCGGATAAGCGGAAGAAAATGGATGGATGAGAAGAACCGCTGAAAGTCTTTCTTCTAAAGAAAGATGTTTGCGCCATTTTGCCATCTTTGACTACAGCTAAAAAAACTAAAGCGTTGTGCGATGCAGTCTTCATTTCCGGCTTTTTCGGATTATTTTTGAGCTGGCTAGTCCCGCCCCTCATGGGGCTCTCTGTGTAACCAGAATCACCCTCTGTGTAGACAGAGGGCGAGTCTGGCAGGCCACGCTAACGTTCTTTGGCACAGTATGGTGAGCTGCCTCACTGGCTGACATCCGTAGTGGTGAGTACGCTACATTGTTTGTTATCTAATAACATGCAGAAACAGTTTGAAAGGCAACCGTCGATCCCGCCTCACGACTGAGAGCCGTCTATGAAACCTGGCCAGATATAGAATGGCTTTCCAGGCTAGAAAACCTGAAGAGTAAATTTCTTATTGCAGTAGGAGTTTGAGTTTCTAACCTGGGGATTAGGAAAAAGCCAAACCAATAATGGATAAGTTTAAAGTAGAGAGACATTGCACTAATATTACAGCAGATTAGCCATCATTAATTCATTTCCAAGTGGATGCTTTTATGGCTAAAAGATCAGCCTTATAACATGCAACATGTTAGCTTCCTTCTCCCAGAGCTACTGCAGCTTTCCTGCCACGACTGACCACATCAGACACATGCCAGCTGAAGCCACGGGCTGACGGGCATTAGAGCAAATGGAACAAAAGCATTAAAAGTGTCTGTGGTGAATTTACAACAACCCCTCTATCATCTGCAGCTCCTGACAAACACGCAGTGTCCGGCGTTGTGCTGCATTCAGTGGTGCAGAACTGAGACGGGGAGCAAAAAGATGAGGACAGTGAAAGAGACAAACTCAGCATACTGAACCGTCTCCTTGATGCTGACGTTCATTTGTCAGCCAGAGCCGTGTGTGTTCTCATGAGACGGCCCCCCATCCTGATATCTTCACTCAGCACAATCAGCCATCTGATCTTAATCTGCTGCTTGCTGTAGTTTATGTATCTCCCTTTGAAATATCCATCTGACGTCAGGATTCGGCCTCAACAAGCCATTCTGTGATTGTTTTATCTCTACTTTGGTAAAACTTAAAAAAAAAGTAATCAAAAAAAGCTGCCTGTGGATCAAGAGGAAAGAGAAAGCTATGAAAGGGAGGTAAACTAGAAACATGCTGACTGAATTAGAGGCATTTGTCTCTGCTGATTGACTGAAACAGAGACGCTCTCCGCCCTGGGGATTCACAAATTGAGACGAACCGACTGCTGCCGCCCTCATTACTTTTTAACAAACTCAGTGGAAGCAGGGAGGCCTTCGTATCACTGACACCATCCAGAATAATGGAGTCATTTACCTTCCTGAAAACAGCTTCTGCTCTGGGTGAATGTTGTTTTCTGTGTCTGTGCAGTTTTACCAGCTCTACTTTTCACCAGGATTTCCACGGTTATGTGGAAGTGCACTCACATGTGGGCACACATGTTTTACCCCTCTAGAGCTGGGCCATTTAACTCCTCTGTGCCCCGTTTGAGGGGTCGACCAGTTGTCTTTCTCCGCTTGTGTCAGACTGGTCGGCTGGATACGGGAGTTGAGCTTGTAGAGAGCGTGGTCTCACAGACGCGGAAGTGATAGCGTCGGTGAAACGCCGGCTCAAGGTTTAATCTAGGAATCCTCAAGTGTTCGAGCGTCAATGAAGTGACACGGAAATGCTGGGTTTTCCAGAAGTAAGTAAGAACACTTACTGTGAGCTGAGAGTTCGTAAGATGGATCGGTTGCTTGGAAACTCTGATCATAGATCCAAAGAAACGATGACTGAGTGGTGAGCTGGGGAGGCGACTTCCATATATAGTCGCAGTTTGTGACGTAGGTGCGACGTGGAGGAAATCCCCGTGAGGGACATGCTGGGAGTTGTGGTCCATGGTGGAGGTCGGCTAGCTGGGAGAGGCTGGTTTGGGGACTTGGGTTCTGACAGGACACCCCCCCCCCCCCACCCCCCGGACGGCCCCGGCGGTCCCATAAGTCAGAGATAAGGGTAGGGTCCAGGATGGAGCGGGCCTGTTCCCAGGAGTGTTCCTCGGGGCCGTAGTCCACCCAGTCCACGAGGTACTGCCATCCCCGACCCCTGCAAAGGGCGTCCAGGACGCGTCGGATGGTGTAGGTGGGCTCACTGTCGAGGAAGCGAGCAGGCGGAGGCGTCGGAGGCGGAAGCAGGAAGGATTCCACATAGGGCTTGAGTCGGGAGATGTGGAAGGTGGGATGAACGCGGAGAGTCGCCGGCAACCACAGCCGGTATGAGACTGGGTTGATGACCTTCTGTATTGTGTAAGGCCCGAGGAACCGGGGAGCGAGCTTCTTGGATCCAGCACGGAAGCGGAGGTCCGCGGTGGACACCCAGACCTTATCCCCAGGGACATAGGAGGGACCAGGACGGTGTCGGCGGAGATGTTGGCGCGCGTAATGGGCGTTAGCTCGGGTGATGGAAGCTCGTGCTTTGATCCAGGCATTCTTGCAGCGCCTCACTAGGGATTGCGCGGCAGGTACAGCAACTTCGGGCTCCTGGTGGGCAAAGACCGGGGGCTGGTAGCCATAGCAGACCTTGAAAGGGGACATATGAGTGGTTGAAGAGGTGTGAAGATTGTGGGACAGCTCTGCCCAGAGGAGGTATTTAGGCCATTGCAAGGGTTGGACCGAGACAAAGCACCGGAGGTACCGACCCAGCTTTTGGTTAGCCCGCTCCGTCTGACCATTGGTCTGCAGGTGATAGCCTGAGGATAGGCTGACCGATGCTCCCATTAGGTGGCAAAAGGCTTTCCAGAATCGGGCCATAAACTGGGGACCCCGGTCGGAGACCACATCGACAGGGAAGCCGTGGAGGCGCACCACGTTCTCCAGGAATAGTTCCGCTGTGCGTCGGGCCGAAGGGAGACCAAGAAGAGCGATGAAGTGGACAGCTTTAGAAAACCGGTCAGTGACCGTGGGGACTGTGTTGAGGTTGTTGACCGGGGGAAGTCCTGTGACGAAATCCAGACCCACGTGGGACCACGGACGGCTGGGCACCGGAAGAGGTCTGAGGACACCAACAGGGGCCTGGCTGGGTGTCTTGGAGCGGGCACTGATGTCACAGGCGCTAGTGTATTCCTTAACATCCCTCGCCATGCAAGGCCACCAGAGTGCTCGTTGGAGGAACTTCAGAGTTCAAGGGAATCTCGCGTGGCCAGACAGGCATGACGAGTGGGCCCAGGAGAGCGCCTCGCTGCGACAGGATGTAGGGACATAGAGACGACCTGCGGGGGTCTCTGGAGGTGCGGGGTTGTCCCGGAGGGCGTTCTGGATAGCCTCCTCCAACGGCCACCTTAGGTGGGCCAGGAAACGGTGCTCTGGAAGAATTGGTGCAGGCTCGGACGTGGGCGTGGAGTGTGTGAACTGGCGGGAGAGGGCATCAGCCTTCTGGTTCTTAGTTCCAGGGCGGGAGGCGAGATGGAACTCATAGGGCTTGAAGAAGAGGGCCCAGCGGGCCTTGCGAGGATTGAGCTGCTGGGCGGATCGGATGTGAGTCAGGTTCTGGTGGTCTGTCCAGATAGTAAAAGGCTGGGTGGTGCCTAGAAGCCACTGTCTCCAATCCTCCAGCACCCATGTTATGGCCAGCAGTTCACGATCAACCACGCCATACTTCTGCTGGGTGGCGGAAAACTTCCTAGAGAAGTAGGCGCAGGGATGGAGTCTGTCGTCAGGCCCGCCTTGGGACAGGATGGCACCGGCACCGATGTCCGAGGCATCGACTTCAACCACAAAGGGCTCCGTAGTCTCTGGATGGCGGAGGATAGGGGCCGACGTGAACCGGGTGACCAGGTGGAGGAAGGCCCGAATGACGTCTGGAGTTAGACGGAACGGTTGGCCGGGTGAGCTTGGTCGGGTGAGGGAGGTGAGCGGTGCCACAATGGTGCTGAAGTTCTTAATAAAATGGCGGTAAAAGTTGCAGAAGCCCAGAAAACCATGTAGCTGTTTTAGGCTCGTAGGAAGGGGCCAGTCAGTGACCGCCTGGACCTTCTGAGGGTCCATGGTTATGCCCTGATTCGAAATCATGAAGCCCAGGAATGAGATGGTCCGCTGGTGGAAAGAGCATTTCTCAGGCTTGCAGTATAGGTTATTGTTCAGGAGCCGGGTCAGGACGGCACGAACATGGTGGAGGTGTTCGGCCTTGGACTTGGAGTAAATTAGGATGTCATCCAGGTAGGCAAACACCCACCGGCCCAGCATGTCACGGAGGACATCGTTAATGAGGCGTTGAAATACAGCGGGACTATTGCACAACCCAAAGGGCATGACCTGGTACTCCCAATGACCGGTGGGTGTGATGAATGCGGTCTTCCACTCATTCCCAGCTTTGATGCGGACCAGATTGTAGGTGCTCCGGAGGTCCAGTTTTGTGAAGATCCGCACCTGGGAGATGGAGTCCAGAGCAGTCGTGAGGAGTGGCAGGGGATGGCGGTCCCTGATAGTGATCTTGTTTAGACCCTGGTAATCTATACAGGGACGAGGGTCACCTTCCTTTTTCTTTACAAAGAAGAAGCCTGCAGCACCCGGGGAAGAGGAAGGTCGGATGAAACCCTGCTGGAGGGCCTGGTTGATATATTCCTCCATAGCTCTGGATTCGGAGGGAGAGAGAGAGAGAAAAGGCGCCCACGGGGAGGACTGGTACCTGGTTGTTGCTTGATCTCCATGTCAAATGGGCAGTGAGGCAGCAGTGTGGTGGCGCATTGCTTATCAAAGACTGCGGCCAGGTCCTTATAGGGTAGTGGCAGATTGGGCGGTAGAGGACCAAGACCACCAGCCGGGCGGTCTGCCATGGGTGGAGGAGGAGAGGTCTTGGTATGAGGATTGCTGTATAGTCACTGACACTAGTCAGTGACTTGATGCAGTTTGCTGGGTTCCTTATATAGGAAACTTTTTTCTAATTGGCTTAATGAACTGACCTGAATTGGAATGTTTACGTTGTGAAGTGCCTTGAGACGACTCTTGTTGTTATTTGGTGCTATATAAATAAACTGAATTTAAACTGAAAAGCCAGTTGAGGTGGCTCGGGCATCAGGTTAGGATGCCTTCTGGTGAGGTTTGCTGGGCATGTCCAGCCAAGAGGAGACCTAATGGAAGATCCAGGACACGCTGGAGGGAATATTTCTTTCGTCTGGCCATGCAGGGAAAGCTTTGGGATTCCCTCGGAGGAGCTTGCCCAAGTGGCTGGGGAGAGGGAAGTCTGGGCCTCCATGCTTAGGCTGCAGCGCCCGCGACCCGACCCTGGATAAGTGGATGAAAATGGATGAATGGAACATCACACCAACAGTGAAACACAGTGGTGGTAGTGCGATGGTCTGAGAGAGCTTTGCTGCTTCAGGACCACTCATTGTAATAGACAGAACCGGTCCTGAGGGTGAATGTTTGATCTTTGACCTTAAACAGGTGTTTCATGTTGGAAAACCCTTGAATGGGGCTGAATTAAACAGTTCTTTGGGGCCTAAATTCCAGTTTGGTCATTTTGGATATATATTTTTTTGCCCATTGTGTATAAAATCAACATTTGAATGAACTTGGATTCATGTTTGTTTGTTTGATATCAAATTTAGTTTGCTGACCTGAAACATTCAGGTGTGACAAAAAGGCAAAAACAGAGGATTGCTGTTTACATCTTAAAATTAATTCTAATATCTTGTCAATAATTATCTTTATTTCTCGTTTATCTTCCATGTCCCATAATCAAGCAATGATTTGCTGCAGATCCACAGACTGAATTATGCAACCAGCCACAGTCAATAGTTCCCTGCACATTATTGACTGTAATGAGAGCTCTTCCCACGTCTAAGAATAGCTAAAGCCATTTCCAAAAGAGCTGCATCACAAGTGAGACTCCAACAGGTGATTTATCTGCGGTTGGCTTTACAACCACACACACCACCCCGAGTCACTCTATTTACAAACAAGATTAATCCCTCGCTGCTCTAATCTGAAGCGTGTGTTCCTCCAGGTCTTACAGGTCCACTGAGAACAAAAGGTGGCATTTTATCCACTCTTGTTATGCTTTCCTCATTTTTAGGAGTTAAACGCAGTTGGACATCCTTAAAACGCACTAAAAACACAAGGTCAGTGTTTGAGCGTGACTTTGATAGTCTGGGTTAATGCTCGTGTTTGCATGGTGCTGATGACTGCAGTGGACCTGTTCCTTTTGAAAGATGCTCTCAAACACAGACGTTCCACTGGCTGCCTTCACCATGGTGACAGCCGAAGCCAAAGACAACTCTAATCCCACGTATTTGAGCACCTTTTGGATTCTGCTGCTGGAGAAGGACTCCCACATGCAAGAATGTTTTCCTTTCAAAACAAAAGCATATGTGTATTCCGTCATACTGAGGAGGATGGAAAATCATGGATGGATTGCGGAGATGTAAATAAAGCTGGATATTGCTGACAAATACAGATGTTTCTTGTGTGATTAATCCAGATGTCACACTCAAAGATGCTTGTTTTCCTACAGACATGTCACTAAGGATGTTCCTTTCTTTACCCTGATGTTAATAAAAACATTCATCTCTCATTTTTTTATCCAATATGAGGTTTTTGAGTGTGTCAGTGCATTTATCTGCAGTAGCGGGTGTCCCTCAGGGTGTGTATAGAAATCAAAGCCATACAGCTACTCTTTTTAGAGATCAGCTCATAAAGATTGTTGGACTGAGAGGCAGAGATGAGAAAATGTCAGCTGCTTACCTGCATATGTGGGGAATAAGATGGAGAATCCACAGCGAGCGGTATGTGTGCTGCAGGCGAGGCGGTTTTTCAGAGCCTCGGTGGCTTTGCTCGTGTGGAATAGAGTTCCAGCGTCCCTCCCTCCCACTCGCTTTGCTCCCTCTCTCTCTCTCTCTCTCTCTCTCTCTCTCTCTTGCTCAATTAT